GCAGTGTGATTCCTGTCTTTTCAAGTGCGATTTGTTTTTTCTATGGCTCAAGGCTCTTGTGGGCTTTGCTTGCCCAGAGCACATATTTAATTCAACCAAGCATCTTGTACAGCAGAAAACATTACGCAAAAAGCATCTCAGCACGTGCAAAATAAAGGCCTGTCAGGTGTTATGTGGGCCTTGCTTTCATAATATTGAATGGCAATTCTTCTTCAGTGATGTTCTCTCATTCTGTCAATGAACACCCAAGCCTTGGAAAAGATGTCTGTCTTTGTCACATAGGCAGAGGTGCTAATTATGTGACTTTCTGCCATAGAAGTGTGTTTTGCAGTCATTTGTGGCTGGTTCCTTACTTAATAGGCCCTCATTTTTAAAGCCTAATATGACCTGAGTAGTGTGTAATATACTGTGCAATAACAGATGCTGGTGTGAAACAGTTGTTCCTCTGGTAGTAGTTAAATATGTGAATAATATCTACAATCACGCGTGTCTTTCGTAACAGCAACACGAGCGGTTATTAGTTTGAGCTTCGCCTTCAGGGCTGAACGCCGTGTCATGGGCCGGAGGCTGTGGAGCCACTGGCCATGGCTTTGATGCTCTTTTGTGCTAATGGCTTTTTAATGAGCCGTAAGTCACATCCCTATCCGCTCGCTGCAAAGCATTTTGTTCCTGTTTATCATCCATAACAAAGTGGATGCCTTCGTGCTTCAAAGACGATGGTTCCACATCAGTAAAGAAACTTGAATACATTATTGTGTTTTTGACATGAATTACTCATATTGTTGTCAGTCTTACAGATGAGCTCTCACAAATGTCAAATCTGAGAAATTAAGCCGGCACACGCTACATTTCTGCACACGTCAGCCACAATATTCAAACCGCCTGTGAAACATTGTCCCTCCAGGACTCCTCGTGGAGATGAGACCTCTGGAGGGGTCTTCTTGCACCAGCATATGTTGACTATCAGTGGGAATTCAGCGTGTGAGGCTTGCACTGGTTCTCCCTTGAATGCATGAAAGGATTGAGGCCAGAGGTGACTTAAGGCAGTGTCACCACCTCTGGCTTTTTGTTCCTTGAAGCATTTCTGAAAAGATCTTTTTATGTGACAACCTGCATTGGTCTGCCAATGAAGGCCAATGTGCTGTTATCATGAGGCTGTGCATGGTCTGTAATAATGTTTGGGTGACTGTATGTGTCAAAGTAACATCTACAGGAATGCCGAGACTCAAGGCTTCCCAGAGGAACATTGCATTCTTACACTTGTAATTTTTATGGCATTTCGGTCTATAACTTTGACTTCACTGGTAGCATATGTGTAAATGCAGATTGCAGATGCATTATTATTTATTTGAAGGTATTTTTTCAGTCACGGGATTGATGTTCCTGGAGTCATGCCACCTGCATGACTAAAAATAAACATATTTCACAAGTTTAAATAATCTGCTGCTTGATGTTCATACCCTGAAGAAATTAATTAGAATGAATTTCTTATTGGAAACAAACAGCAAAATGAAACAAACTCTACAGCAGCGCTGACATGATTAGGAAATTAATAATGATAACCATGAAAATTAGATCAACACATGATGAGTCTTTGGTTTCATTCGTTATGGAAAACAGTTTCTCCCCGTCACTGTTTCAGCTGCTTTAGTGCTTCTGTTTTTTGCTCCAGGTAGAAGTCGTTTTTTTAAATAGTTTTCATTAAAAATGAGCTCTCACACAACATTTTAAAGCGTGATATAGTTTGTCTTCAGCGTGACTTTGCTGTATCAACACAGCCATAGAGCGGCACTAAGACTGTTGATCTGCCATCAGATCTGCTACCTTCCATCTGTTGGCGCCAATACGTCGATTAACTGAGATAAATGGGCAAAAATGTCAAATCTGCTGCCATCTTTTGCACATATGTTGTCTTCACTCACAGAAATTCACTTCAGCTACGACATTCAGACTCAAACAGAACTTTATAGATTTGAAAAAGAAATTCAGAAATTTATCCACAAGTTTGACACGGTTGCTCCGGTGTCATGAACTGAAGTTCAGTACACAAGCTGGACCCAGAAGCAGAGTCAACACGCACAGGAGTACGAAAAATAAACTTTATTTCAACTAAAGGTGTCCCGGAAGGGTCAAAGGAAAACACGCGAGAAACTAGAAAAACCAAGGGACCGGGGGATGAGTTACGCAGGGACGCAGTAATCGGGACTGTGGGGGGAGTCAAAGCGGGGCCGTGGGAGCCGGAGGGAGGGGTGAGGGTCCGCGGGGGAGCTCCAGGAAAGTAGAGGTGATTGGTACCGGAGGCGATCCAAACTCCAGACGGGCAGGTGGACAGGCAGGTGGCTCAAAAACACGCCGAGCTGTTACTGAGATGGGATGCAGGTGTGGAGTTAACAGCCACACCCGTGGGCGTGGGCATCCCATCAGCTCCTCGGACACCGGGCCGCGGACCATGACATCCGGACAGTCTGGACATGTTTGCGTCTGGACTAAAGTGATGATTGGACCCACAGAGAGACACTTTGCTGTCCCTGCAAATGAAAACAAACTATTTAAAGTACTTCTTAATTTTCATACTGGAGAGATTAATTAATTATAAATTAATGGGAACTCTTCAGTGGTAGCAAAACATTAATTAATGATTCCAAATTAACCATTAAAAATGTTTTATTTTTAGAAATGTGAATCACTTCAAAGCAGAGATTAAAAGGGTAGTTTCTGTGATGGGTTAAAGGATGAAGCGGTCAAATTAATTTCTTCCTGGCATAATTATTATGTGTCTGTACAACATATATCTGAAAGTATACGAGTGTAGTCCTTCAGGTATCTTCTGCTGAGGGCATACTGATGTAGCTGAGTAACGTGTGGCTGTCAGAAACTATGAGAGAAAAAGAGCAACAGAGAGGCGAGTGAGAAGAGAGTGAACGCAAAAAGAAGCGGTGCTTTTGTCGGCCGTGCAACAAGCTGCGATCAGTGGAGCTAATAGGAAGAGGTGAGCTGAGGGAAAAGCCTGGAAGCAATAAAGATCGCTCGGGAGATGTGAGGGTGTGAGATGGAGAGGCAGGACCAAAGAACGAGAGAGAGATGGAGAGGGAGAGGAGGAGGAGACAGCGCCGTGTGTGCAGACTGAGTCGGAGGTGAAAGAGACTGCTGGGAGGCGACTCGCTGAGCGCTGTGATCAACACAGAGACGAGTAGAGGAAACGAGGGGAAAGTGACAGAGTGCGCTGATTGACACGCCCGGCGTGGCGAAAGCAAAGGACAAGCTTGCCAACTTTTTTTCTTCTTTTTTGATGAATGTTTAATCTGCTAATGTCTTCTGATTTATTGTGGAGCTGAGTGGATCGCACTACGAGGGGCTTAATTAGTTTTCCCAGCTTGTCACTTCAAAGCCTTTTGTCTTGCACATCTTTGAAAATGATGTAAAGAGGTGCAATCACTCTGTTCGTGTTCACTGGGGATCGTAGCCGCTCTGTTGTCGGATGCTTGGATTTTGCTGTCAGACTTTGATTCTTTATTTACCGCCTTGGCTTATTTTCAATCTGCATGAGGTAGGTATTCAGTTTTCACTCAGGATGGAATCACGGCAGGAATGCAAAAATATCATTAGAGTTAGAATTAATAGAATTAATTCTGTCCTTTGAATTGTTTAGGATAAACTACATTTAGTGACTCAGGAGAACTTTAATGTGTTTAATGACCTCCTGATTAAGCTGTGTGTGTGCAGATATGTGTGTGTGACACAAAGTGCTGAAGCATGTGTTCATAAAGGAAACACATTTCCTCTCCTTTTCTTGTGAAGATCTTATGTTAGAAATTCACATTTTTCCAAGGTTGCTGAAACAAAATGAAACTTTCTTTCCGTCTCGTCCTCCGGCTGCGCTGATACATCATTTTCTGTTAATGCGATACAGCATCCCTGCCTCTTGTTCTCCATCCCTGCCAGTCTGACTTGGCATTGAGCTTCACAGGAAAAGACAAAAGTATTTCATCCTCCAGCTCTGTGCAGACGCTCCAGAACAGCTCCCTGTGTGGGTTTACAAGTCGTGATCCCCAACTCGTGTCGTGTAGAGGGTGTGAACGCGTCGAGGCTTTAGCGCCGCGGGGCGTGTCCAGAAGCTCGAGCTTTAAACATTTTTTTAGAAGAGTAATAGCAGAAAGTAATTAACATTTTTCCTTCATTACATTACTTCTCAACCTGCAGGTCAGGACATTCATCAGGTTGAGGGACGACTAGAGGACTGATATGAGTAATTTCTAACTTGGAAGTATTTTAATCATTCTTTTGAATCTTTGCTGTAAATGCATTTTTCATATGAGCCATTTAGCAGCTTTCAGAGCTTCTTGCAATAATTAAAAGCAATATTTCAGACAAAGTTCATCATCCTTATGTCCATGCCCTGCGGGTTGTATTGTGGCTGTCTTTTGGGCTTAGAGTAATTGAATAAATCCCGGCAACTATGATTAAAGGAGCTTGTGACTGAAGGGTTGAGTTTGAGTTACCAGCTGTAGGCAGTAATAGGTTTTTGGGGGGGGGAGGAATGTGTTTTTATAAAAATGTTACAGACAAGCAACTTTAAATGGATGTTTTATTTTCAGCTTTTGTTTTTTGTTTTTTTCCATCGAGACATAAACTGAACAGATCATTTTAGAAGCAAACTTGTTAGCTTGTTAGTGGACAGGAGACATATTTATAGCCATGATGTTGTAAAGCAGGGGTGGGTAATTCCAGGCCTCGAGGGCCGGTGTCCTGCAGGTTTTAGATGTGTCCTTGGGTCTCACCTGAATCACATGATTAGTTCGTTACCAGGCCTCTGGAGAACTTCAGGAGCTAATTTAGCCATTTAAATCAGCTGTGTTGGTTCAAGGACCCATCTAAAACCTGCAGGACACGGCACTCGAGGCCTGGAGTTGCCTACCCCTGTTGTAAAGGGACAACCTCAAGAGCTAAAAATGAAGCCATTGGTCATAGCAAAAGTTGCAGTTCCTCTAGTGGCCACTCAAGATTTGCTTCTTTTCCTTTTTTTAATGGGGGGTGGCCTGCATTCATCGACAGATGTCAAGACAGTTTTTCTGAGTGAAATTCAGTCTGTTCATTGCACCTGTACAGTTTATAGGTGCACCATGCTAGCGTTAAGGGATAAATTAGCACTCCACCTTTTCACCCATGCAGTTACTTCTGGCTTCAAAAATCAATGCCGTGATGGCCAAAGGTCGATGAATGGATGTCATCGTGGTGGTTACGTCCATCGTCTATACTGCCTGTGGCCATTTGTTGATTTCCCATTTGTTTCAAGAGTGGTTACAAAGATTCATAGTCACACAGGGAGCGAGAACAAGTTGAGGGAGCCCACAGGAAGTTGGAATATTTGATCAGGTAAGATTTTCATGTAAATCTGGGAAGATTTGACACTTAACAATCGTGAGGAGAAACTTCGAAACTAACTGTGATTTGAAATGAAGACAGATTCAGGAAGTGCATTCTTCATTTATTGCCTGAAAAGTTTTTGGAAACTTTTTGTATTATGTGAGGTTTTGCAAATAATCCACCGTCTCAGTTTCTGTTTGTATGAAGTGAAGCTCAGTGTTTTTGCAGTTACTGTAGGTAACGGGGGAGGACATCTCTCTGTCATCTTTCATGGCACCGTCACAAACCGATCTCTCGCGTCTGGTTGTAAACTTTAAAACAACATGTGTCATGTCAGGTTTGTAGCAACAGTGAGTGAAACATATACTTTGTAATGCATGTCAAGATATTTTTCTGAAATGTTTCCATAAGACATTTCAATAGGGACGTTTTGATCACTCTGGTGCAGCATCACTTTGATGGCTGACATGCAGACGGCTCACAAGAACATGTATCAGATTTTTATTTTAAACAAGCACACTGTCCAGTTTCAGGCAACTTGCGACTCATAGACGATCTGAATAAAAATTCATGACTGTAGCAAAAAAAGAAAAAGTTGATCTGGGTCTTGACCTCTTTACATTTGGACTGACGTGTGATTAAAATGATCTCCACCGAGCACACCAGTCCTGACCTTGTTAATTGTTTGTAGGCTCTCCCTCCTGAAGGCAGGCTGATGTAGTTAAAGGCCACAGTGATTTTTTGCTGCCACTCAAGTAATGTGTGCATGACCTGAGGTTTTAACCTGCACAGGCATTCGTGCATTGGACACGTTGACATTTTACGTGCAAATGAGTAAACTCGTTGAAAATACTCTGTATTTCAGTTTGTACCCTCACCTTGGGGCAAAACCATTTTAAGCTTGAAACACTGGGTTCTGCAGACAGCATTGTAGATTACTTCCATCACGTCATCCGGTTTATGGTTAAAGTCTTGACTTGAAGGTTAAAAAGACAATAATGAATTTCAGGCTGGGGCAGAGCTTCTTTTAATATTTACATTATTATCTCCAGTGCTAACCTTATGGGAAGCGGTGACTTTGAATACACTGACTTTATATGAAATACTCGAAATGAAAAGTAAATGTGGGATGTCTGCACCAGCATATCAATGGCTGCATATTAACTGCAGGTGGAATAGACAGATGTGAACTAATTTTGTGTGTTAAAGAGTAGACATAGGCAATAGGAGCTGTCATAGTTTGTACAGATTTGACTTAGTCTTGTGGCTGCTGTCATTGTCTTGGGGCTTTTTAAACCTCACGTGCACATATTTAGATGAGTGTCGCACAGATACCTGCTAATTAGCGGTAAGTAAATTACTGGATTTCACTCAGCTACTCCACACGGATTTGTCAGATAATAGATTTAAGGCAGAAACACTACAAATGGAGTCAAGAGGTTCAGCTCAGTGAGTCATATTAAATGAAATGTCGGATACCACCTGCCAGTCAAAGTGACCATGCTCTGCCAAATTCAAATTATAAGCTTTAATTAATTTTACACACATGAGCAGTGATGTTAGCTTTAAAAAAAACTATGACTGTGTCATACATGCCTGCAAACATGTACATTTTCATGTCTGAAGTAAAGCAACTAAACATGCAAATCTATGGGGCTTGACTCACTGTCGTTAGCACTACTAACTGGCTTAATCTATCAGCCCAGGAGTTCTCACTGTGGCTTTGACTTAACAACAACAATATTTCATGTAGATTAGAATATTTGCCAGTGGATGGAGGGCTATTCAGGATGCATGTGTGCAGAGTTGCTGTTTTAGCGATGTCACTGGTGGCTTTAGACTCGAGTTGATAAAAAATAAAAACTGTACACTAACATCAAGCTAGGTGTTGATAGTCAGATGTGGGAATTTACTGTTCCTGGCAAAACGTCACAAAAAATAAAGCCTTTGAACATATTTATAAGTCACGTGTTTGTGTGTTATAAGTCATTTTTCCTTTAGGCCCAGTGTTTAACACTAGGATGTGGTCAAGGCCTTTTAGTGGCATGTCCTCACACTGATAGTCACACTGGGTTGTGTGTGTGTGTGTGTGTTTACTGATGGTATGTCTAGTTTAGCCCAGACACGACAAGTGATGAATGAGCTGAATACCTTGAAGCAGACAGAGCAAGGAAATAGAGACAGCAAGGGTCACTGTGTACAGACCTGCCGCAGCATTAAATGGATGGAGTGATGGAGGAGAAATGGCAATACAAGACCACCTTTATATCTAAGGAGTGCTTTGATGGAGGGAGGATGCTACTGAGAAGTATTGTCTATAGTATCCTGGCAACAACTTCACATACATGGGGAAAAAAGCAAAACAACAGCACTGTGTGTGAAATCCACAGAGACTCCCAGATATACATGTTTATTTATTTGCACTTACAAATGTGTCCATAAATACGCATAAAATACCAACTGCTGAATACAGGAAAGGTTTTGTTTGATGTGGAGCTACAGCGTCTGACTTTAATGCTGTTTGGGGTTCCACGTTTGTTTGGATGGGTTTAACAGCCATAAACTGATCTTCAGTTCTCACTGTTAAAAGCTGCCCTGTGTTATTATCTCGTAAACAAACAACGAAACGGGAAACGCATCGTGCCTCGTAGCTGTGCGCGTGAATTTTCTTCATCTTTGAACACTTGCAAAGTGGATTTTTTTTTGCTTTGAAACTTAAATTGTTTATCTAAACAAGGCTTTCTCCCACCGAATGTGTGTGTCTGCTTTATTTGTTCCTTCATGCCACCAACTGTTCAGTGATTTAGCATGACAGAGAATGGAACAAAGGGATTTCCACACTGGGTATGCCGGCTTTAAAACAGCCCTCGGAGCTTCAGCACTGGTCAGAAAACGCGTTACGTTCAAACATGAAGATCAGTAAGTGCTTCTGATGATCCGCCATCATCACTTTTCAAAAACTGCAAAGAAACCGAAGAATATGCACGTTTCTTAGGTAAAGTAACTTTGGCAGTCATACGAAAAGACTCTTGTCATGATCTCCTCGTTTGCTGATCTCATTTTCCAGTCAGTCTTTCTACAGAACATTTGTGCTTTAACTTAATGAACTGCACAAATTGGGATAATGGTCCCACTTTTATTCCTCATAGACAGAAAATGGCGCAGAAGTAATTTTGTAAAGAA